CCGCCGGAGGAGCTCACCAATGGGACCTTGCCCAGATCTTTCAAGGATTTGTGAGCTCCTCACACAATCCAGTCTGGTTAAACCCAGGATGGATCGTAGGCAGGCCAGCCTAAATGTTTCTAACCGGCGAATGGGGGTCCACGTTTCGCAAGCGTAGAGAAGGGAGGGAATGACCGTGGCCGAGAAGACCTGAAGCTTAGTGCGGAACGACAGACCAGGTAGCTTCCACACAGCGTTACGCAACCGATGAAAAGATATTGCCGCTCGACTGATTCGGAGTGAGACCTCTGCTGTTAAACTCGAGCCGGTCATAAGCACACTGCCCAGGTATGGGAAACTCTCCACTCGCTCCACAACTGCCCCATCACCGATTGAGAGTTGTGGGGGTGTAGTGTCCGATGGTACAAAATACCCAGGCAGGTGCTTAGTTTTGGTGGGGCTGATGGTAAGGCCCCACCTCTTAGTGGCACGCTCCAGTCTCAGTAGCAGCGTCTCCAACTCCTCCTCTGAATGAGCAGCTATTACCAAATCATCAGCATACATAACGTGGTTGAGCAATAGGGAGACATCCCTTGACCGCACCCGGGCATCGATCAGCCTCCCATTATATCTGTACCATATGGAGATTCCTCCGGTACAGCTATTGAAGGCTTCACGAACTACGTGGTCAAAATAGATGTTAAATAATGTGGGAGCCAGAGGACATCCCTGTCGCACCCCAAGGTGTACAGGGAATGGCTCTGACTCCCGGCCACGTAGTTTTACCCAGGCCCGCTCACCATCATGAAGGCCCTTAATGATCGTGAGCAGAGGGTCAGGTACTCCAAAAGCACGAAGAACAACCCAGAGCCCAGGCCTACTGATGGTATCATAGGCCTTGACCAGGTCAATAAAGCAGAGATGTAGGTCTTGTTGGAATTCCCTACACCTTTGCTGTAGCAGACGGACAGAAAGTATGGCATCTGTGCAGGACCGCCCTTTCCTGAAACCGCATTGGGGCTCTGCAAGCCTCTCCTCAGCGTGCCTGGCAAGGCGATGCTGAATAATCCTTGCCAGGACCTTTCCCGGCACACTGAGGAGTGAAATGCCCCTGTAGTTGTTACAGTCTGTGCGGTCCCCCTTCTTAAAAAGGGGGACCACCAGGGCATCCTTCCAATCCTGCGGAACCCGTCCAGTGGTCCAGACTGTTGTTATGATGTCATATAGGGCAGTCTGTGCACAAACGCCACCCTCCCTCAGCATTTCGCTTGGGAGATCATCTCTGTCCGCTGCCTTTCCTGGTCTCAGACTCCAGATCGCCTTCAGTACTTCCTCAACAGATGGCACCTCAGCCAGCCACTCACAGGGGTGACTTCTTTCAATATTTGAGGCACTGCAGCCTCAACAGGGTCATCCTCACTTTGTGCCACGATGTTTTCCTGGCTGAGGGATTTTCCCTCCCCCAGGACCTCACAGAAATGCTCAGCAAATCTGCAAACCTGTTCCTGGGGGTCAGAGATTAGATCACTGTTTTTTCCACTAATAATGGTAATAGGTGTCGCGCTGCAGGTTACTTTTTTGATGGAGTTAAATAGAGATTTGTGATCACGGGCCACTGAGGCAGTCTCCATCTCCTCAGCAACCCGCGACCACCACCCATCCTTGCAGCGCCTCACGGCTCTCCGAACCTCCGAGCGAAGGCTGCGGTAAGCCTCCTCATTCTCTGACGTGGGATTCTGTAGCCGATGACAGTGGGCCTGTCGCTTTTTCTCAACCATCCTGAACACCTCCTCTGTCAGCCAGGGTCTTTAAAAAGGTCTGGACCGCGTACCCAAAGCAGCCATTGCAGCTGCATGAGTCACAGTCCTAAACCTCGCCCATTTACCCTCGACATCAGGAGGAGTCGGGGACGATGCCAATCCCAGTTGCAAGCGATGATGAAATTCTCGCTTGCAACTTTCATCAGATAACTGAGACCAGGCCACTTTAGGTTGGAATGGGGTCCTGGATGTACACCCACCACCGGAGTGGAAGAATGGCAGGCGCATCTTACAAATGACTAGTCGATGTTCAGAGGGCAGATCAGCTCCACGGTAGGTCCTGGTGTCAAGGACATGGGCTCGCATCCGCTGGTCCGTCACTATGTAGTCCAGCAGATGTTCTTGCTTGGACCCGGCATGCATCCTTGATGTCGTGTGGATGCGCCGATGCCGGAACAGCGTGTTGGTAATTACAAGCCCATGGGCTGCACAGAAATCTAGCAGCCTCCTACCGTTGTTATTGAGCTGATCTGGCCCATGCCCTCCAATCACTCCAGACCAGGTGCCAGCATCATGACCAACTCGGGCATTGAAGTCACCCAACATGATGACTCTATCCCGAGGGGCCACTTTAGCCAGCACCTGTGATAGGAGGTCATAGAAGGCATCTGACTCATCGCCTTTGCCTGCATCCCTCCACGGATGTTCATCTTCAGTGGGGGCATATGTAATCACGACCACCATTCCTCGCCTCCGGTTGATGGGAAAGCGAGCCCAAAGTAGCCTGGGGCTTACAGCTTCCCACACCTCACTGCCACGCTCCCACGCCCCCTTCATTCTTTTGTTCAAAAGAAGAGCCACACCCTGTTGTTTGGCAGTCTGCTGCCCCGAGTAGAGGACTGTCCACCGCTCATGGTGGCAGGAGCCAGAACCGGTCCACCAGACCTCCTGAATGCCACATAGATCCAGGCAGTACCGGTCCAGCTCCCGACAGAGGAGTGGCAGCCTCTCCTCCGCAGTGACCGTTCGAACATTCCACGTGGCCACCCGTAGTGGTTTTTCGTTGTTTCTGGAGGAGCCCCGAGGGTAGATATTCAATCTCCTGGCTCCACCAATTGGGGTTTGGCCAGGAGACGTCATAGACGCCTGGCTCCCCGGGGCCTCCGGCACAAGCTTATTAGTTATATATTTCAGTCATAAACACACATGCAAACACACATGTAAACACGTACACGTACATGAATAATATTTAATTGGTTTGCGCTATTGCTCCTGAAATCCCCTCCTCTCTCGACATAATTCCACACCTCAAGGCTTCTCGGACTTTGGGCCACCATTTGCACCTGCCACAATTTCAACGTTTAAAAGCACATTATTAAATGTATTAATTGTGTGATGGGATTACGAGGTGAACGTCGTCGTGCGAGGGGGGACTGTGGGTGTTGTTGTCGTCGTGAGGAGACGGATTTTTGGGACATCTCAGGGGCTCTCCAACTGACCCCTTATCAGCCCCCCACTAACCCCCCAGTGCCGGATTAAGCTAGTGCGGGGCCTGTAGTATATGATGTTATACAGGGGCCCTAAATATATATAAAAAAACATCAATATTAAAACACAAATTTGTAACTTGCATTATAAAGTAATTGTATTTTTTCATTTGGTATACAGCCAGATAATACGATAATTTGCTAACCTTAAACACCCAATAGTTAATAAAAAAATGAAGGCAGTATAGTAATATAGTAAGAGAGGAAGTGCAGAATCATTGAACCAGAGTTGATAGCTTGAAAGCATTCAGCGCGGGGCCCTTGAAAGTGCGGGGCCCAGAGCTGCTACATATGTAGCAGCTACAAGCCCTAGGCAACCGGTATTGTGCACGGTTGTGACCGATCCATGCTCTCAGTCTAGGCCCAAACCCTGCTTAGCTTCTGAGACGAGGAGATTGGGCTAAATCAGAGCTTGGTAACATGGGGCTCAGGAACCGCATGCGACTCTTTAACGACTGCCTCGTGACGTTAATTATTAAGGATCCACCGTCTTGTATTCACCATAATGCATTGCGGCTCTTGAAATATAGATTTTTGCTTTACAGATATTCGAAAGAAATTACAGCTCTTATTGTTATTCTTTGGGTCTTTCGGTAAAGTCACGTAGACAGGTTCAAAGAAAATTACAAAAATACTGCGACGTTTCGATCGCAACCTGATGACGACCGCTTGTGTTGCGATCGAAACGTCGTAGTTTATTGTTATTTTCTTTGAACCTATCTACGTGACTTTACCGAAAGACCCAAGGAATATGAATTCCTGCAGTCACGAAAGCTTTAAGTCAAGATTTAGCTCTTCCTGTTGTTTTGGTTTGCCGAGCTCTTGGCTGCATCCACGTGATGTTAGTGACATTCGTGTGACTTAAAATAAGTCATATTTTTAGTTTTCTTGACATATTGTTACCTTCGTGCTCAGCTTTCTTAAATGTCTTCTTTCATCAGGTGAGTTCTCAATCAATGCGAAATATGTATAAACACTACCGATGAAAAGTCTACATATGTGGATAGATACTAAAACAAACCAAAAAGACCACTTAATACTACTGTCATTTGTAAATCCACTTCTGGATGATAGCCTTCACAGGTTGTGTCAATCGTGGGGATTGTTTGACCATACTTCAACACGCTGGTCAGTACAGGTTGGTGAGTGCGGTGGGGTGGGTGGGGAGGAGGTCAATACCGGTTCAGCGATCACTCACCCACCGCTGTTTGTTCTCCGTGGCCAGGAATGAAAGTTGATGGCGCAAGGTTCGAATGGGGCATTCTAAAACCACGATCAACTCCGCATGCCGAACGCGTCACCACCATTCGCCGATCAAGGGCGTGCCTTTACAAACTTTTACTTCCAGGAGAGCATCTGGGCACGCACAATTTGAATAGATTATGAAGTGCGTGTGCTTTTTTGTGAAGTCTTTGCTGCTATTTTAAAACAAATGCACACCGGAGTGGTTGTTTTTGTTGTTGTAAATGATGAAACAATAAAAGAGGGCGACGACGGCACGGGGGCGTTGAAACGATTCTTCTAAGACGTCACTTTTACGAACGGGTGGCTGACAAGCGGCCTCACGTGAGGGATGTTCTCACACCTCGCTCAGCTACGTGTGACACTTACAACGCCGACGTTTCACATCTTCATCTTCGCGCGTAGAGAGCACCTCTCCAATGCGTCCGGACGCCTCGATTGTACGAAACGGAACTGAGAATCCGTAGACATATTTCCCACGAGCAGTTTTGGTTTTATTGTCCAAAATAAATGTGTTATTTTGTGCACACAAGTCAAACCATGGAGAGAACGAGCTGACTGGCCTACTATGGGAAGGGCTCATTACGAGGACGTTTTACCCATGCTTCGCAATCATTTACGTGTGCACGTCGAACTTCTTTCGCACCGTACGTAGCCAACCGGGCTAATTGGAGGTACGGGGACGAAGTACAACAAACTAATACATTGAAATGTAAATATATATACACCACACACGCACAACGCATGCACTATCCGATATGTACATGCACATTTTTGAATTGCAAGAAGAAATTTTGCTGTGACTTTATAACGAGCATTTTTTTTTTAAACAGACATGTTCATGATTGTAAAATGAAAACGTTTAAATGATTGCACACGATAAATATATTTGCATCCAGAGCAATTACAGTGAAGTATGACCAGGACCACGTATTTTTATATAAACATACTGACATTGAGTCTTGACAATAATTGTCCATCGTGGGACTAGGTATAAAAGGCGTAATTTGTGGCGAATATTTTTTTGTAAGGGGAGAAAACAAATTGTAAAATTCATGAGCATTCAGAGAACAGCTGCTGCGTTACAACATTCCCTACAAGAAGCAGAGGCTACCTGCTCTCCGTACCAGTCTGCATGCAATGCACTTGCAACAAGCCTGCTCAACTGTGTGTATATATATATATTTTTTGTAAGTTTAATAGTAATAAATAATTGCTACAACTTTATTTAAAAATCGCATAGTAAAAACATTACAATCCGTCAATGCATAATAAAAAGTATGCCCATTTATCATCGAAATTAACTCCCATTTCCTTGCAAAGTTGAGCCGCGTGTTTGCAGCCGATTGCGCCAAACCCATTACGAGTTTATGTCCGGCTGATTTACAGCGGAAACGCTTTGACAAATGCGGCTCAGAATTCGTGCCGCGCTCCCTCCGCTTGACCCAAAGTGCACGGAGCGCGAGACGATGCTTGATTTTGTGATTTTAGGAGCGCAAACAAATATTCTGCGGTGACTTTATCCTGGCGAGTGAGCGAGCGAATGAGCGCAAGAGCTGCAGACTTTTCATGGCAGAGTTGAAGCCTCCGGTAATTCAGGGCAGCCCCGTTGGCACGTTCATATTTTCAATAACATGTGCACTGGTGTGTGTGCGCCGAGGTTTTGAATCTGCGAACACGTCGATTGAGATGAGTTTTCAGACAGGTTTAATGGCCTTGGCCGGTGTCATCATTACCCCCATCGTTTCTTTTCGTGATGGTCCCTCCCAAGTTGACAGCGTTGGCATCGATCTGCACCAAAATGGAGCCCCCTGGTCAACTTGTTGCCGCGGTTTAGAGATGAGCACTGTGCATGGCGCCACTTAGAGCCTGCTGTTAAATCCTTGAGAGTTCTGAAATGTGCCCTTGGCTTCCTCACACACCGCCATACATCTACTGGCGAGGCTATCAAACAAAGTCCCTTCCACTTTCAATACATAAGCGTCCTCCATAACTTACTGAGACATCAAGCCTGGATTAACAGCTCTCCGCCACAGTTCTCCAATTGGGTTCATGCAGGCTGGAAATCATGCCTCTCCTTTACATGGCCGAAGGCCAGACGAAGACCCCAAATGAACCTTGTCCCACCGGCTGCCATTAACCCTTTAGCCAGAGCATTACAGGGATTTATGTTGCTAGTGGACAGAGGAGGCCGAGGGCTCGGCTTAGGCCCACGGGCGTGAGTTCACCGCCACAGCGGCCACTGTCGGCACCTTAATTCCGGCCTTGCGGGCCGCGCTCGAGGTTGCACAGCGTGGCGTGCGAAGAGAGCAACGAACCGGTTACCGGTCGACGCTCGCTCGCGGGCTGTGCCCAGACTACCGGGACCGCTTACTGCCACAAAAAAAAACACACAACCGCAGCTTAGGTTAATTTCTCGAGCTCGCATCCCCACGACCGCAAAGGCACGCTCGACCCTGGGGAGACACTAAACATCCAGATCACCTGCATCTTTCGGCTTGGGTCCGTTGTGTTTTTATTGCTTTTTTTAGTTTGACGTGGGAATTCAAAGCAATAGAAGCAGAAACTTTGCAAGGAGTTTTTTTTTAGTGGGGGGGTCCACCGGACGCCCCCGTCCCCCCTCTCCCGTCGGCCGTTCCTCCGCTGGCTCCGTCTCTCGCGAGCAAAGCCACGTGCGGCTGCCCTGCTCTAGAGGCCCTCGAATAGCTGCATGGACCTCAGGATGCTCTGGTCCTAGACGAGACGGCGAAAGGGATCGCAGGCGGGGAAGTAAGAGGAGAGGAGAGGTTAGGACAGGTGTTGGTGAAGGTTAAGAATCATAACTGTTTAGAAGCTGGTGCGGAGATATTTAAACTATTAAAATGTGGCAAGAGTCAAACACCTGCTCACCTCTTTGCAGGCATCAATAAACTCGTCTATTGTTACAACGCCATCCTTGTTTTTGTCCATTTTCTAGACAAAGACAAAGATATAGATTGGCTTCTACGATGGCAGGATCAGGTGTATTGTAGGTGATTTTCTCACAGGCACACACACACACAATTCGATGCGTGTATTGTGAGATAAACGATCGGTATTAATGAACGACTCGATGCATTATTCACCCCTGGCTAATAGATGTTTTTTTGTTTCTTATTCTTGCGTCTCAGCTCTTATGATGATTTGTCAGATTATAATGCCACCTTTGACATTCTTTATATATTTAAAATATAGTTTACTATCCAGCTGCGCCATTTTGGGTTTATTGGTTTCATGCGGGAGTCATTAAGATTGCGTTTGAACTTAAACTGCCAACGTTTTGCTCGTGCAAAAGCTGTTAATTGAAATTTCTCTGTCTCATTGCGAAACCGGTAAACACCGGGTAATACTGCCCACGTGAGAATTTGACATTTTACAGTCGTTAAGGTGGTTTGGATCTCCTTCCAGTCGGAGGTACCATTTAAAACTACAACACCTCTTTAATCTTCTCAAATTAAAGTAATTGATTTCCGAGTAATTATGCCTCTTTGGCCCTTTTAATGTATTCCTTTGCTATTGCTAATTTATCACCTGTCACAAAATGTATATATTTTTTACATTCTCTATTTGAAGATGCTGTGAGCAGCCAGCCGGCAATTTCCTTGCACGCCTCAGTTTCTGATCTTCAATTTTATAATAAGAAACAAAAACATATTTATCGGATGTTGTTGAAAAGTTACAGGCGAAACGGTTGGCAGTCGAGAATCATCAAAGACAAAAAAAACACACACACAGACACACAGAGTCGTCGTGACCAAAAGAGAAAACGCATCGTGCAGTCAAAAACTCCAGAAAATCCCCCCCCCCGCCCTGGAGCAATGAGCACGGAACAAGTTCAAAGCATTGGTACGGCGAGTCCTCGCTGAATGCGTGGCCGTGTTCATACCACAATGCTTAACGCTACAACGCCGTTCTGCCATTTGGGAACGCTTTTCGCACAACGCGGAACACGCACCGTTCGAACGCGCACAGTTACAACGAGCGCCGTTCTAACTTTTCAAGGAACGCATTAGCTTCGTTAAAGGAGTAACTGCTGTATTTGTCATCACAAGCATTAAGGCGTTATAATGGATTAGATTTCCAAATAGCGCCCTCCTATACGCTGTGGCATCTCCGAGCGCTATACCTCACATCTCAACACATTTGAGAGGGCACTGCCAGTAAGCAGCTGTCCCTGTGGGCACAAGGAGACTCAGCACCAGCCTTGCTGTGCTAGGTGGGGGTTTTAAAATTTGGCGAAATTAATTAATTTCCATAATTCGTACTTGCTTTCCAAATTTTACATCTAGGACGCGGTGTATATTCTTGGCCACGTTGTTTACAGACCATACGGTGTTAATGTTGTGATGACGATCATGATTACAGGATTACGGGAAAGTGGGGCGGGACATCACACCTCGAAAAACTTGTCCACGTGCTCCCTTGGCGCGTCGTGGTTCACTGCCGGGTACGTGTACTTGCCCATCATGTCGTAAATTGACTTCATGATGTCCAACATTTCCTGCACGAGCGGTAAACAAGCGTCCACGCGATGCGCACGAAAACCTTGACTGCTGTTGCCGCTGTCTCGCTCTCGTGAATATCCACACTTGTTTTACAGCCGTTCACATGTAAAACGCACGCGCGGCCGGACGAAGGCCGGAAAATCCCGTGTCACCAGTTGCCCAGCTAGTTGCGGTGGCAGCAGCCACTAATGACAGAGTTATCGTTATGGGTGGAGAGGAGCCCAGCCAGCGGCCAGCCAGCAAACTGGAGGCATAGATCATTATTTTTTTTTATCGTAGTACGATATAGAGCAGTACGGAACTTGCAGCGGTGGGATTAGGTTCCGGCTCGCCACGTGGCTGCCGCCTTCCCGCTCGCCTGTGGTTGCGATGCTCCGCACAGCGAACATTGTGCGGTGCATTGAAAGCTATTATTGTGGCAGCGGAGTGTGAATACCTGATGCACCAATGGAAAATAAAATAAAAACTCTCCAGGAGTAACAACGTAGAACGGACGCAACGGCCGATACAAAAATACGGAGGAGACGCCGCGGGGATACACTACTCTGCTGCTCCTGACGCGGTTAGCTGGGCTTGTAGCCGATGCGCTGCATCTACATCAGCAGCCATACGACGAGAAGATTATGGATGCAACAGCGGCAGGGCCTCACCTCCTTGGTGACATAGCCATCTTTGTTGATGTCGTACAAGTTGAAGGCCCACCTTAGCTTGTCCGTCACGGATCCGCGCAGCAGCACGGACAGCCCAGTCACAAAGTCCTGGTCCCAAGCACGCAAGCACGCAAATGCATGTAGTTCATGATCGTTAATTCATCATCGTCAAAATCACCATCGGTTTACAATAATCAATTTATAATTAAAATCATCGGTTTCCATTCATCATCATTTTACAATGATTGTCATTTTATAATGATGATCATCATCTTTGTAATGATCAGTTTACAATTAAGATAATCATTGGTTTACAATTAAAATGACCATATTCATTATGATTAGTTTATAATCATCAATCGATTTACCATTAGATTAACACGTCGGCTTTCGTGACCAATATCATCCACAATACATGTTTTTTTGTGTTAGATTGCGTAAATATGAAGAAAAAAAACACTCAGACTGGTGTGGCAGGGCTTAGCAGATTATAAATCTGAGTACTCAGATTGTAAATGTTGTGGATTTGCTCTACAACACACCGGTAGTGCTGTACTAGTAACTAGTACTCAGATTTTGATTTAAAGCTTTCGTGACTGCAGGGATTCATATTCTTGGTTCTTTCGGTAAAGTCACGTAGAAGGGAAACAATAAAATAATAAAAATATAAAACAATACAATTCTATTGTTTTATTTTTCATTATTTTATTGTTTCCTTTCTACGTGACTTTACCGAAAGAACCAAGAATATATAGTACTCAGATTGTAAATGTTGTGGCCTGGCTCTCCAACACACCGGTGGTGCTCTACTAGTAACGAATGGACACGTTCTGTAAACATGACAAAACCTTACTAATTGATTGTCGGGTGGTGGCGGGTTTTACGACACATGTATAGTCACGCGCTCTATCCCAGAAAAGAACTGTCATTTACAATTAACTTCAGAAATATCATCACCAGACGCAACCATCATCATTTTATCAGCGGCATCATCATCTTCAGCAGCAACATCATCAGACATTGTCTCTCCGATGCTCCTATGCCACCAAATTTCTCATGGTCCTGCGGTGCAAAAATCCATCTCAATCTTTCACGACAACTGATGTCATCGCTCCATCTCCCACAGGGTCGCCCTTTATCATCTGCTGAAGGCCTCCCCCCACGCTGTCACAGTCATGGATGTTATTTGCTGCTTGACCACACTTCACCACCCCTGGTCACTGCAAGGTTGGTGAAGGTTGGGGTTTGCCCAG